CCATATGTTTGCTAAAATGCCATCGTATATGGTATAGAATTAATAAAATTCCAAAATGGATCGTTTAGGTACTGTAACAGCACTACTGTTATATAATTAAATTATTGTAGGTATGGATACAAAAGAAAATAGGATTTATAATGTTTTTATAGTACACACATACATCAAATTATTTTTTGTTCACTGATGGGTATGGGTGATTCTACAAAAGTTGGGCAACTTTTGACCTCATTTTGTTTATATAGTTTTCGGAGAAAATTAAACAGTATTTTGTTATGAGAACATAGATAATATATTAAATATACTGTTCCAGACCGGGCCAGTAACTTTGTCAAACAGTTTCTGAAATATCTGTGTTTTCTAAATTTGAATGCAAGGGAAGTGACGAGTATTCCAGGGTAATAAATAAATACATAATTTTTTGGAAAATATAAGATTTATTGCAACTTTGATCAAATTATACATTAAATATCTTAAAATCAAATAATACCACACATCAGTGGTGGATTTTGGGTTTACCGATATCTCAATTATTAAATATGGGATCCACATCAAATTTATATGAGTTTATAATGACATTAAATAAACAAGTTTTAAATTGAAGTTTGCGAAAAAAAGATAACCGAAACATCGAACATGGAACTGACGACACGGTACTGATGAATGGGATACAAATTTGAGATTATAATTCGAAATTAAGTATTTTACTGATATTTTTTATTAGTGAATGCTACTTATCAACAAATCACATATAGCCTTATATAAATTACAATGAAATATATAAACGTAAGAAAATAACTACTCACCACAGTAACTATACGTGCATTCACCACAACTTCGCCGCTTCCATTGTTTTCAAAATGACTGTCGTGCAAAGGGCGGGCTCTGTAGGTAATTTTTTTACCAACACTTGAGTTAAAACGAGGACTTGGCGTTTAAACTTCAATATTTCGCAGGAATTTTGAATTTTAATATTGGACACAGAACTACAAAGATTATCTTTTTTTTTAAATTGCTATTATTCGAATCAATGATAAAATATGAAAAATACATTATTTAATGTTTTATAATGTGTAGTGAAATTAAAAATTTAATAAATTGAATATATTTTAAAATAAAATCACTCAAATATTTGATTCAGGAGTTTGACACGCCAAGGTACTGATGTTTTGAATATTTATTATGTTTTTCTACAAACGTGCTTATCAAAAAATAAATCAAAATTGGGATCTTTTGTAATATACTAAAATATTTACAAAAAATATTAAAATACCTACTCTATTGACTGATTACATCAAGTTGTCCAACTTTTGTAGAATCACCCGTATCTCTTCTTATAACGTAAGCGAACTAATTTTAATATCGATATCATCCTACGCAGCGTTGCGGTAACGAATTTTTTCTTCATTCGGCTGATGAATTATGTATCAAACCACAATTAAATCAAGTCGATTACCAATAAAGTATTTCAGGATTATAATACTCGTCGAGTATCGTCTTACGTTGTCGGTCACCTGCCTTTATGCATCAAAAATCCTCGTCATCTTGATAGCATGCCCCGGCATTGAATTACTGAATTCTTCCACAAATACCTCCACCACTTTTTACTAACCTATGCGGAAATTAATCTTCTATAGGAAGAAAAAAAGGACGAACAAGAACTTAATCAAAATTAACACACCGCATTTAACATGGTTGTAATGATTCTGGGAAATTTCTTATTGACTTATCCATATCACCGAAGTCACAATATGACTGTCACATACACGTTTCTTGCATTTAGTTCTGAGTTAATGCAGATCACAACAGTTAATGCTGTGTATGAAAAAAATAGATAATTTAAAATCGATTTATATGCAAATAAAAACATTAATACTCTAAATTAACTAATGGGTTCGCCTACAATAAAAATTTTCGGTGGCAGCTTCGGTTCATTAATTCCTTAATTATGATGAAGCTTTAAAAATACTTAATGCAAATCTACACAGTAAAAAATATTTGTTAATTTTAACAAAATTCTAACTCAATAATTCAACCATAATTCTTGTAATTTAAAAAAAAACTTATTTTTACAAACCTTTTTGTAGACCCAGTAACAAAAGTATTGTTGGAAATTGGGGACTTTAATTAAAGGAATTTTGATAAAAAATGTTGCTTTATGAATCAATTTCCAAAACAAATAACACATACCTACATAAATGAACATATAAATATCATACAGGCAATTAAATAACACACCATTCTAAAATCATTAAATTATAAAGAAATTTGGTACAATATAATTATCAGTACTACTACAACACTTAAGTAATTACTGATGTATTTTGTAACATTAACCCACTTCACTTTATCCCCTGATTTCAGTTTAAAAACCAGTGATGGCATATTTATTCGTATACTTCGCATTTCGCACAATCGTTAAATAGGTATAAGGAATAATAATAATAATAATAAACTATATTGTATAATAGCAAGAAAAAAAAACATTTTACAAATGGTGTAAGTTCAGCAACATGCTGTTCTACCACTCAAACCTATAAAAAACAATGTAATATAAAATAATAATTTAAAAAAACAATAGAATATAAGCTATATTAATAGGGTACTAAACTTAAATTATGAATTGTGACATTTTAGCAAAAAACATTTAAGGGATGAAAAGTAACGACATTGTTGGTAGAATTAAATTTTTCAAAAAATCTATTTATAATTATTATAACTATTATAGTTGGCGCCAAATATTCAAAACAACATTTAAATTTGGAAGTTTTATGAATTTGGATAGAAAAAATATTCTTATAGAGTAATTCTTTTATAAACCGAACACCTTTTGACCGACACATCTCAGATTTGGCTGAAACTTTTTTTACGGATTCTATGTCGAAAAATAAAAGATACGTGTCCGAGGAATTTTTTTTCTCTCGCATATTTTCGATAATACAAGTTATCGAAAATTTGAGAATAACGAGTTTTTTGGCTTGGAGACTCATTTTCAAAAATTTATAACTCTGGTTCTATTTGAGCTACAAACTTCTTTTTTTTTTCATTTTAAAGCTAAAGGACTGAATTTTTATAAAAAAATATTTTTAATAAATATTATTAACAAATTCATATTGTTATTAACAATTTCATTGTTTAAATCAATTTTTAACAATGGCCCCCACCTCGTTTTAAGTTTTTAGTATTTTTATCGTATTCTCCATCAAATTTTACATAAAAAACATGTTTTCAAAATATGGTACCTTTATTATTACTATTGTTAAAACATTAATTTGTATTGCGCGACACATAAAAAAACGGTTTTTTGTTAATAAAAAGAAAACTATAGCTCGGATGAAAAAAGTCATATATAAAAGTTGTAGATAATAAAAAGATATACAATTTTTATTTTAACTATTTTTTGACATAACCTCACTTTTCAAATAAATTGAAAAATTTCAATTTATTTGAAAAGTAAGGTTATGTCAAAAAATAAATAAAATAAAAATTGTAGATATTTTTATTATCTACAACTTATATATTAGACTTTTTTTGATCCGAGCTATAGTTTTCTTTTTATTAACAAAAAACCGTTTTTTTATGTGTCGCGCAATACAAATTAATGTTTTAACAATAGTAATAATAAAGGTACCATATTTTGAAAACATGTTTTTTATGTAAAATTTGACGGAGAATACGATAAAAATACTAAAAACTTAATACGAGGTGGGGGCCATTGTTAAAAATTGATTTAAACAATGAAATTGTTAATAACAATATGAATTTGTTAATAATATTTATTAAAAATATTTTTTTATCAAAATTCAGTTCTTTAGCTTTAAAATGAAAAAAAAAAGAAGTTTGTAGCTCAAATATAACCAGAGTTATAAATTTTTGAAAATGAGTCTCCAAGCCAAAAAACTCGTTATTCTCAAATTTTCGATAGCTTGTATTATCGAAAATATGCGAGAGAAAAAAAAATCCTCGGACACGTATCTCTTATTTTTCGACATAGAATCCGTAAAAAAAGTTTCAGCCAAATCTGAGATGTGTCGGTCAAAAAGTGTTCGGTTTGTAAAAGAATTACCCTATATAGCGAGTATTTCTGTTGTGAGTTTCACAAATTCTACTCAGCATATTGTGGAGGTATTGTGGATTTTTAAATTTTAGGACATTAAACACTAGACAAGAATACTGTAACAAAAAAGTGGAATTACATTAAAGGAATTTTTTTTATACATAAGTATACTATAACTATAACTATAACTATAGTTTACATTAAGCAAGTATCTTAAACAAGAATTTTGAAGTTTTTGTAGTCTTTCCTTATAGTATAAATTAATGTAAAAGTAGTAAACTGAAGAACAGTAATTTAGAGGACTTAAAATTAGAGTTTTAGACAAATTCCATTTACCATTATTTTTTTAAAAGTACTTAAAGCTATATATTGACTTGTAAGCATTTTTTATTAATTTGCAAATATGTTCAAAAATAAGGTTTTTAACTACTAAAACACCCAAGTTTTTTACATATTCTTCGAATTTTATTACAGAATCATTTAACTTAATATCACAGGTTTAATAAGATTGTAAAAGGTTAGAACCTATATATGCATATCGCCACTGATTTTTATGAATTTAAAAGAAGGCCATTGCAGTCATCCAAATAACAATAATAACAGATTTCTGGTAATATATTATTAACATTATTATAATAAAGTAAGCAGAAACATAAGTTGCAGACGCTAAAGTCAGTTGAAGCGTATTGTCAGTGGGAAAAGTTTTGATTGACTACCTGAAATCACGTGTACTTTTTCAACGAAATAATCTGTTAAACATTAACAAAATAATCTGTAACCTTTAAAATTAACAAAAATAAAATTAACAAACTACAAACTGATGTTAACAAATTTGATTTTTATAGCAGTGTATAACCAGAATTCTTTTAACAAGCTCCTGATGGGTTGGAAAGACAGTTAGGATTTAATATCAACATTATAATGGTGTTTTCTTTGTTTTCAGGACAAACCCCACAAGTGCAACCTGTGCAGTAAGTCCTTCCCCACGCCCGGCGACCTTAGATCTCACATGTACGTCCATTCGGGCTCATGGCCCTTCAAATGCCACATCTGCTCGCGAGGCTTCTCGAAGCACACCAACCTGAAAAATCACCTGTTCCTTCACACAGGTAAGCATCGAAATGCGTTCGCTTTATCCACTGTGCGGCTCCGAGATATACCATATAATTACAAACGGACAGTAGTCTATAAGCAAAGAGGGGTAATCAAGGAGTCCGCGCCCGGGGCATTCCTTGCGTTACAGCTACCGTTTCTTCGGGAGTCCAATTAAAAGTCTCCACCGTGTATACCGCCCCGTCTCTCTCTACCACGCTTAAATTGCTGGCACAGCTTATCTCCCTGCGAGATGCTGATAATGAAATTTTTATTTAAGTACAGGTTGCGCGACCTTATCGATAATTCAACGCGAGGCCTAACGCTACTCGCTCATATTGCCGATCGTTGTCTCAGATACAAGGCTCTTGAACTATGTTTGACTTAAATTAAGTCTTATATGACTTTGGAAATACCATTAAAAACGTAATTGCCGCCATAAAGAATATATGTTTCGCGAAACAACAATAATTATAAAAAGTTATATCCATCTATAAAACTTTTTATCATTTTCATCAAATGTGCTTCAATATTAGATTGGCAGCTACACTCACAGGCAAAATAATCGATCCACACAAATTTTCGATGAATTTCAATCGCAAATAACTTTTTTATTTGATGTCGGATTTAAACGAATATTAAAGAATATTGTAGATAAATAAATGGACAATCGCTCACATTTTAAGAAATTACTAAAATAGACGTACGTTTATTATATACAGTTTTAAACAAAAATATGTTTTTTACCATAAGTTGAAGACACTCTGTAGAGTGACAAACCCGTATATTCTTCTAAAATTAAGTTTTATTTATCAAGTCACAACTATTCTTAACAGTTGTTTTTGGTTCACATCGATATATTTATTTTTGTGAAAAATATGGATTTTTAAAAAAAACATTGTAATTTCCAATATTTTTCTGTTTGAAGAACTAAGGTTGCTATGGTCCATCCATAGGCTATGGAGAATGACAGTGACAGTTTTGTTGAATCATCCCATCCTTGGACATGTCATACACGGCTTTCAAAAGCTATCAAATTGTTTTTTACAAATTAATGTTTAAATTTTGAGGTGTCTTCTTGCTTTAAAAAATGGATATGTCTCCGAATGATGTTGCCAGAGCCATTAATTTAATCCAGGATGGACGGTCACAGTATTACGTGTTTTAAACGTCACAAGAAGTAAAGTACAAAGGGCAACATCAGTCGGAGACATTTTTAAAAGTAAGAAGACACCTCAAAATTAACACATAAATTTACAAAAAACAATTTGATAGCTTTTGAAAGCTGTATATGACATGTCCAAGTATGGGATGATTCAACAAAACTGTCACTGTCATCCTTCATAGGCTATGGATGGACCATAGCAACCTTAGTTCTTCATACAGGAAAAATATTGGAAATTGCAATGTTTTTATAAAAAAATCCATATTTTCCACAAAAATAAATATATCAAGGTGAACCAAAAATAAAAATGTTAAAAATAGATGTGACTTAATAATTAAAACTTAATTTAGAACAATATACGGTTTTGCCACTCTACAGAGTGTCTTAAACTTATGGTAAAAAACATATTTTTGTTTAAACCTGTATATTATAAACGTACGTGTATTTTTTAGTAATTTTTAAAATGTGAGCGATTCTGCATTAATGTATCTACAATATTCTTTAATATTTGTTTAAATCCGAAAACAAATAAAAAAGTTATTTGCGATTGAAATTCATCGAAAATTTGTGTGGATCGATTATTTTGCCTGTGAGTGTATTACAAATAATATTTTCATTTATTGTTTGAATAGAATTGTCTTTTAAGCGAATGTCGGGTTGCACAATACTTTTATTACTTTATTTATATTGTTATTATACCTCTAATTAAGAATAAGATCAACTAATTAAATTAATATTGTATTTAAATTGTCAATCAACATTCCAAACCCAATAATGAATATTTATAAAATCGATGAGGTAGGCGTTAATCTAGATTTTATTAGACTTTGTAAACATGATCTATTTAGAATTAAAATACAGTTAAAAAAGAAAAAACTTTAAATAACAATAGTGTCATTGAACAGGCCTGTTACCCGAGTAAACTTAATATGATACTCACACGAGGGGGAGTTATTTTAAGTGAGCACATAAGAAAAAGTTGCTAAAAATGTAATACATTTTCATCCAAAGCTAATTCATCATACTCTCCTCTTTGATTTTGTGTGCTGTTATGAGAAAAAATCAATTTTGTTCGATTTTTCTTCTGTATAGGATTCTCCAATAATTTGTGAATACAATACTTGGTTTTATTTTTTAAATTTACTTATTTATTTCGTTTTAATATTCTGCCAACACTGCTCTGGGATATACCCAAATCTCTAGATAATTCTCGTGTGCTTGCATGAGGATTAGCGGCCGTTGCTGCTAATACATTAATTTCATTATTCCCACCTATGACTGTTGCTCGACGAACCCTTTTTTTCGGTTAAACACTCCTGTTTGTAGTAAACTGCTTGACTGTAGGGTGAAATGAAGTACGTGATCGAATTTTATCCGGAAAACGCTGAGTGTAGATATTAACAGAATCACCAAGATTCCTGCCTGCTTCTCCATAAATCAAAATCATTTCTATTTTTTCTTCCACTGTTAAAAAATCCATTATGAATAACTGCTTAACGAAAGGATGTCTTTTTGTTTGCAAATTAATCTTCGATCTAAATTGATTAAATAATGCTAAACTATGTATAAATAGTTTCTTTATACCTCAATTGGGATTACATTAATTAATTGACAAAATAATCTTTTTTTACCTTAAATGAGGTATTTTTATTAAAAATAGTACAATATTCCTTTAAATTAATGGATTTAATGCTGGCAGGTAAAAAGTGACCATGGTGCGTAATTGATAATTATCAACGAATGAAATAATGTATAAAACTTAAACCAAAGGAAACCTTAATGTTAGTTAAAAAATTGTGGGTACTTAAAAAAATCAGATTTAATTTAATAAGATAATTATTACCAAATTTTTATAGAAAAATTATTGCAGAATCGTATACAGAAGAAAAATACATATAAAATATTAAAAGTTATTTGTAAACTTTTATAAATCTGATACAAAAAATCCACTGAAATATTACATTAAGTTTGTGTGTATGCGAAAATGAAAGGATGCAAAAAATCCCATTTTAAATCCCTCATAAATCTTATTTTGGTCGCAATAAAGTTTAAATTGCAAAGGCAAACGATCATAAACAAGATCTGACGATCCCATTGTTTCATTCAATTTTTCCGTCGATGCTGACATCGAAATTTAAGAGTGGCAATTTTTTGCGCGCATCGAACCGTACCTTACCTGTAGCTTAATTAACAGTTTTAATTAAACAAAAAATTGGTAGGTGTTTCTCGACACTGTACCTGAGCCCTCTTAAAATTCCTGCACAGAGCAGCTTAATTCCGACACGTATTTACTATTAAGTTTAATTTTAACGTACCCGACGTATTCGCAGTCAGACGGTCAGCTCAAGATTTGCGAACCTTATAATTTCAATCCATAAGCGAAATTAAAACGCTAGTAGCCAAATTTAAGAAAAAACGAACACGAACAATATGATTGCCTACTTATTCATCGCACAGTGGAAACAATGAACAATTTAACTTAAAAATATATCAAGCCTTTATTTTTCTGCACTTGCCTTAGTCCTGTCTAAAGTACACAGTATCACACTCAGAAAAAAGAACGTGCACTGATAATGAAACTAATTTTGTAAGCGATTAATAAAATAATAATATTTAACTTAAATTTAAAATTGTAATTGCTATAAAAGAATGTACCACCTAAGGTACCTTTTTTATTAAATTTTCAGTGTCTTATTTGGGACCAAAACCTACGATTTGTCAAAGTAATGAGATTATTTTTATTTACAGAATAGACTTTTTTTACTGTTAATAAAATTCTCATTTACTATAATGAAGCAGCAATGTTGATCTTTTATAAAAAAAATGTTCATCCAACAAAGTAATAGTTATCATATTGTCATAGCAATAAGAAATACTTTATGTTTATATTAATTTTTTGTCGAACTTAAAATGTTTTTTGTGTGAATTGCGAATTTTACTATGACATATTTGTCTTTTTTAAATTACTATCGTTGTAATTCAAATTAATTTTATTTCAGTTAGAAAATCTTTGTTAATAGCTTACGTTAAGAACAATAACAAAAATATTTTATTGGTATAAAAAGACTTTTTTAATATTTACTATTGTTTTATAATGGTAACAAAATTTTTGTTATTTCCCTTAAAAAGAGGGGGAAAGGGCCAGCGCTCTCCTTGGTGAACATAACTTTATAATCCACAGTCTGTGTTATAACCTTATTGATTTCACTTGTGCGAGTGAAGTGTGGTAAAATCTAGCATGATAAAAATATCAAAAAGATCACTAAGAAAATTAAAATTTCGACATTTAAAAAAATATATTTAAGGTCTATTCTTTGTTGTTTAAAAAGTGAGTTCATATTTTTGTACATCATATAATATGAGTTATTTTTTTTGTTATAATAAATAATTTATTTTAATGCCTTGAAATTATTTTAAAAAAACTACCCAACGCCTAACCCACTGCAGTGGGTTGAAAATGTGACCATTGTTACAATGAAAATAGTTTATTGAATTAACAATTAATTTGTTGTTAAATTTACTTAAATCTAATTAATATTATAAAAAAAGTTTTATTTTAAACGAAAAGGGATTTGTAAAATTTACAATATTTCTATGAATAATGCCATTAGGGTTTTACTAATACTACAAAACGGTTTTGTAAACGGTATAGAACTGTTTTTTAGACAAATAATAATAACTACCCACACAGAACACGCTATCCAATGGATATCCAATGGCTATCCCAATGTCCATATAACATCCATGCCTTTTACGATATCCATTGGATATCCAATGGATATCCATACTGGATGTTCAAAAAAAAACAAAAACATTAAAAATATTTTTTTCTTTTTTAAAATAGCCCCTTATAGGATAAATTTATGTAATGATTAATAAATATGATTTAAATCGTTATTAACCCAATTTCAACAAAGTATCTCTAATATATATCCAATGGATAACTAATGTATGTCCAAAGTATATCCACTGTACATCTAATGTATATCCACTGGATATCCACTGGATATCCGATGGATATCCATACTGGATGTTCAAAAAAAAACAAAAACATTAAAAATATTTTTTTCTTTTTTAAAATAGCCCCTTATAGGATAAATTTATGTAATGATTAATAAATATGATTTAAATCGTTATTAACCCAATTTCAACAAAGTATCTCTAATATATATCCAATGGATAACTAATGTATGTCCAAAGTATATCCACTGTACATCTAATGTATATCCACTGGATATCCACTGGATATCCAATGGATATCCATACTGGATGTTCAAAAAAAAAACAAAAACATTAAAAATATTTTTTTCTTTTTTAAAATAGCCCCTTATAGGATAAATTTATGTAATGATTAATAAATATGATTTAAATCGTTATTAACCCAATTTCAACAAAGTATCTCTAATATATATCCAATGGATAACTAATGTATGTCCAAAGTATATCCACTGTACATCTAATGTATATCCACTGGATATCCACTGGATATCCGATGGATATCCATACTGGATGTTCAAATAAAAACAAAAACATTAAAAATATTTTTTTCTTTTTTAAAATAGCCCCTTATAGGATAAATTTATGTAATGATTAATAAATATGATTTAAATCGTTATTAACCCAATTTCAACAAAGTATCTCTAATATATATCCAATGGATAACTAATGTATGTCCAAAGTATATCCACTGTACATCTAATGTATATCCACTGGATATCCACTGGATATCCGGTGGATAACTGATATGGATATCTTGTATATATACTTGTATGTATACATGTGGGATTTTGTGATGGTTTAAACTAGCATATGTAAAAAAAACGACTTTACGTTAAATTGATTTTTTGCCAAGAGCTACGAAATTTTTAATTTTGAAATGTTCACTTTACCCAGATAATAATATTTATATATTAATAATATTATTTCTGTTAATAATATGACTATGACAGTCTGCAATACAATAAAAAATTACTTAAAAAAGTCCTTTTTGTTTATTATTGTATTTCATATATGTACTACGCACGCGCTGAATTTGAGAATCTTCAGTGTTGTCGGTTATAAGCAAAATAACTAAACGAAATATATTTCCGTACTTTATTAAGTTTTAATAAATTAATTAAATAAATTTAAAATAATTATTCACCACATTTATGTCAAATAGGTATACTAGGTATACTAATTAATTAAGTATTAAAGATTTAATAATATAACCGCCATTTTGATGAGCTTTCTGAAATTATTTAAACGTCTGACAACACTGCCGGCGAACACAGAAGATAAATGTCACCATATTACCTTGCCGCTGCATCTCGCCGCTGTCCAGGTCGCCCAACTAGTATATAGGTGGGCGGTTGCTTGGCTTGAAGCGTGTCTCTCGGCACCAACTGCCTGACACTGATGAGACCCAACAGGTCGAAACAGTCTGTCTGTCAGTGTTGGTGGGCATGGTACATTAGTCATTGTGCCATGTAAAACAAATGGGCTGATGGATTGGCCAAATTTTGGGGATCATAAGGAGACAGGTGAAATAGGCCCTAAATGATTAGGCTGATAAAAAGGCAAATGACAGCTGGAGGAGTGATGGCAAGCACTTCTTTAGTTATATGTAGTTTTCTGTTCTATTTTATGTTTTCATAAAAATAAATATTTAAATTAAAGAATAATAATTTTGAAACCCAATGTTATTTATTGAAAAGTAAATATCCATTGATTCACCATATCCAATACAGATGACAACCATATTGCATACAATACTATATCCACTGGGTATCCATTGGATATCCACACTATGTCCAGGAGGGTCGGACATTTATATATCCAATGGTTATCCATTGGATATCCATACAATCTCCATATTGAATACAGATTACAACCTTATTGCATACAATACTATATCCACTGGGTATCCATTGGATATCCACACTATGTCCAGGAGGGTCGGACATTTATATATCCAATGGTTATCCATTGGATATCCCGGATATCCTATGTATATCCTGGATATCCATAAAAGAAATCCATTGGATATCCATTGGATGTAATTGTTCCGTGTGGGTATATTTATCAATGCGTTTCTGCATCTGGAAGAGTGTTATTTTTATAAACATAACGTAAATTTACTTTATAAATAATGCAAATTACTGAAAGCAGCGTTTGTTGATAAATAATTTTTATAAATATGATCTTTTTGCCGTAACAAAAGCAATTGTTGGAGGAATAGGGATCTTTACTTTATTAAGACAAACAACTTTTTTTGTTATATTTTTTAAAAAAATTTCTGAGTGCACAAAACATAACGTAAAGATATGAAATAATAAATCTTTTTTTATCTTGCTATTATTTCCAAAAATTGATTGTATCAAAATATCTCGGTTTTACTCAATCGAACGGACATTTGAACTAGTTTAAATCTGATGAAATTAGTTGCTTATATCGCATAAGTAAATGTAAATTTGTTTGGTAAATTTACCTTCCGATAATTTGATAAGAATAACCTTGTTTTTTTTGTCATAAATTTGTTTGCAAAATAAAAAAACTAATTTTATTTTATTTTTTTCTAGGAAAGCCAAATGGTACACGCAAAGGCTGAGTTGATCAGCGTTTTCAAAATTTTACAAACTGTTGTAAGTGATCTAAGTTAAGTTTAATTTATATATAAAACTATTGTTATCAAAATTATTATTATTTATATAAATGCATATATTTTTTTTTGTAATACGTACTACCATAATATGTATAAATTGTATATATCTAAATAAATATTATTTTTGAGAAATTATGATTTTAATTTAAAACCCTTAAGAAAAAAACATTACTATGGTACTTGTAACATTCTTAAACAAAGGTAAGTAAAAACTAAATATGTTTAATTGTAAAAGTAAAATAAATATTTCCTATTTTTTTATGTTCAAACAAACATTAAAGACAAAAGTAGCATAAGCAATACTAAGCTTAAAACTACAGCAAAGGAAAATAAAAAGCAGCGAAAAGAAAAGAAAAAAATAAATATGCAGAAGGGATAGTAAAGTTACTTTGGGACAATTTCACAACGGTTTATCTTTCTCTGAAAACTCTGAAAACTGTGCAAAAATATTTTTGCTTTGTTGTGTTATTAACAGAGATTTAGCTCCATTTGTGAGCTTGGTTTATGTGATTTTTTAACATGATTTCTTTACTAATTCGACCACGCAGTTTCGTACCTCTTCGCGTTTGGAAGTTACACTCGAAAACCGCGATATTTTTTTTATAAGGGGAGACCAAGGTAAAATTTTTCTGAAAAACATGAAATAGAAAGATGCCCAATTAATTTTTTAACATGATTTCTTTACTAATTCGACCACGCTGATTTCAAAAATCAAACCGCAGTTTCGTATATTTTCGCGTTTGGAAGTTACACTCGAAAACCGAGATATTCTTTTCATAAGGGGGGACCAAGGTAAAATTTTTCTGAAAAAGATGAAATCGAAAGTTGCCCAATTAATTAAAAAAAAGTTGCAAAAATAATTTTTCCAAACTAATTCGAGCACGCTGATTCCAAAAAATCAAACCGCACTTTCGTATCTCTTCGCGTTTAAAAGTTACACTCGAAAAACGCGATATTTTTGTCAAAAGGGTCCCCCCTTATGAATTTTTTACTGAAAATCATAAAAAAAAAAGTTGCAAAAATAATTTTTTCTTACTAATTCGAGCACGCTGATTCCAAAAAATCAAACCGCACTTTCGTATCTCATCGCGTTTGGAAGTTACACTCGAAAAACGCGATATTTTTGTCAAAAGGGTCCCCCCTTATGAATTTTTTTCTGAAAATTATGAAAAAAAAAATGTGCAAAAATAATTTTTCCTTACTAATTCGATCACGCTGATTCCAAAAAATCAAACCGCACTTTCGTATCTCTTAGCGTTTGGAAGTTACACTCGAAAAACGCGATATTTTTGTCAAAAGGGTCCCCCCTTATGAATTTTTTACCGAAAATCATAAAAAAAAGTTGCAAAAATAATTTTTCCTTACTAATTCGAGCACGCTGATTCCAAAAAATCAAACCGCACTTTCGTATCTCTTCGCGTTTGGAAGTTACATTTGAAAATAGCGATATTTTTTTCATAAGGGTCCCCTTATGAATTTTTTACTGAAAATCATGAAAAAAAATGTGTGCAAAAATAATTTTTCCTTACTAATTCGACCACGCTGATTCCAAAAAATCAAACCGCACTTTCGTATCTCTTCGCATTTGGAAGTTACACTCGAAAAACGCGATATTTTTGTCAAAAGGGTCCCCCCTTATAAATTTTTTACTGAAAATCATGAAAAAAAAAGTTGCAAAAATAATTTTTTCTTACTAATTCGAGCACGCTGATTCCAAAAAATCAAACCGCACTTTCGTATCTCTTCGCGTTTGGAAGTTACTTTTGAAAATAGCGATATTTTTTTCATAATTTTTCATTTATGAATTTTTCTTACTAATTCGAGCACGCTGATTCCAAAAAATCAAACCGCACTTTCGTATCTCTTTGCGTTTGGAAGTTACACTCGAAAAACGCGATATTTTTGTCAAAAGGGTCCCCCCTTATGAATTTTCTTACTAAAAATCATGAAAAAAAAAGTTGCAAAAATAATTTTTTCTTACTAATTCGAGCACGCTGATTCCAAAAAATCAAACCGCACTTTCGTATCTCTTCGCGTTTGGAAGTTACATTTGAAAATAGCGATATTTTTTTCATAAGGGTCCCCCCTTATGAATTTTTTTACTAAAAATCATGAAAAAAAAGTTGCAAAAATATTTTTTTCTTACTAATTCGAGCACGCTTATTCCAAAAAATCAAACCGCACTTTAGTATCTCTTCGCGTTTGGAAGTTACACTCGAAAAACGCGATATTTTTGTCAAAAGGGTCCCCCCTTATGAAATTTTTTCTGAAAATCATGAAAAAAAATGTTTGCAAAAATAATTTTTTCTTACTAATTCGAGCACGCTGATTCCAAAAAATCAAACCGCACTTTCGTATCTCTTCGCGTTTGGAAGTTACGCTCGAAAAACGCGATATTTTTGTCAAAAGGGTCCCCCCTTATGAATTTTTTTCTAAAAATCATAAAAAAAAAAGTTGCAAAAATAATTTTTTCTTACTAATTCGAGCACGCTGATTCCAAAAAATCAAACCGCACTTTCGTATCTCTTCGCGTTTGGAAGTTACACTCGAAAAACGCAATATTTTTGTCAAAAGGGTCCCCCCCCTTATGAATTTTTTACTGAAAATCATAAAAAAAAGTTGCAAAAATAATTTTTTTTTACTAATTCGAGCACGCTGATTCCAAAAAATCAAACCGCACTTTCGTATCTCTTCGCGTTTGGAAGTTACACTCGAAAAACGCGATATTTTTGTCAAAAGGGTCCCCCCTTATGAAATTTTTTCTGAAAATCATGAAAAAAAATGTTTGCAAAAATAATTTTTTCCTACTAATTCGAGCACGCTAATTCCAAAAAATCAAACCGCACTTTCGTATATCTTCGCGTTTGGAAGTTACACTCGAAAAACGCGATATTTTTGTCAAAAGGGTCCCCCCTTATGAATTTTTTACTGAAAATCATGAAAAAAAAAGTTACAAAAATAATTTTTTCTTACTAATTCGAGCACGCTGATTCTAAAAAATCAAACCGCACTTTCGTATCTCTTCGCGTTTGGAAGTTACGCTCGAAAAACGCGATATTTTTGTCAAAGGGGTCCCCCCTTATGAAATTTTTTCTGAAAATCATGAAAAAAAATGTGTGCAAAAATTATTTTTCCTTACTAATTCGACCACGCTGATTCCAAAAAATCAAACCGCAATTTCGTATCTCTTCGCGTTTGGAAGTTACACTCGAAAAACGCGATATTTTTGTCAAAAGGGTCCCCCCTTATGAAATTTTTTCTGAAAATCATGAAAAAAAATGTGTGCAAAAATAATTTTTCCTTGCTAATTCGACCACGCTGATTCCAAAAAATCAAACCGCACTTTCGTATCTCTTCGCATTTGGAAGTTACACTCGAAAAACGCGATATTTTTGTCAAAAGGGTCCCCCCTTATGAATTTTTTACTGAAAATCATGAAAAAAAAATGTGTGCAAAAATAATTTTTCCTTACTAATTCGACCACGCTGATTCCAAAAATCAAACCGCACTTTCGTATCTCTTCGCGTTTGGAAGTTAAACTCGAAAACCGCGATATTTTTGTCAAAAGGGTCCCCCCTTATGAATTTTTTACTGAAAATCATGAAAAAAAAATTGCAAAAATAATTTTTTCTTACTAATTCGAGCACGCTGATTCCAAAAAATCAAACCGCACTTTCGTATCTCTTCGCGTTTGGAAGTTACACTCGAAAAACGCGATATTTTTGTTAAAAGGGTCCCCCCTTATGAATTTTTTACTGAAAATCATGAAAAAAAAATGTGTGCAAAAATAATTTTTCCTTACTAATTCGACCACGCTGATTCCAAAAATCAAACCGCACTTTCGTATCTCTTCGCGTTTGGAAGTTAAACTCGAAAACCGCGATATTTTTGTCAAAAGGGTCCCCCCTTATGAATTTTTTACTGAAAATCATGAAAAAAAAATTGCAACAATACGTTTTTCTTACTAATTCGAGCACGCTGATTCCAAAAAATCAAACCGCACTTTCGTATCTCTTCGCGTTTGGAAGTTACACTCGAAAAACGCGATATTTTTGTCAAAATGACTTATGAATTTTTTACTGAAAATCATGAAAAAAAAAGTTGCAAAAATAATTTTTTCTTACTAATTCGAGCACGCTGATTACAAAAAATCAAACCGCACTTTCGTATCTCTTCGCGTTTGGAAGTTACACTCGAAAAACGCGATATTTTTGTCAAAAGGGTCCCCCCTTATGAATTTTTTACTGAAAATCAAAAAAAAGTTGCAAAACATAATTTTTTCTTACTAATTCGAGCACGCTGATTCCAAAAAATCAAACCGCACTTTCGTATCTCTTCGCGTTTGGAAGTTACACTCGAAAAACGCGATATTTTTGTCAAAAGGGTCCCCCATTATGAATTTTTTACTGAAAATCATGAAAAAAAAAGTTGCAAAAATAATTTTTTCTTACTAATTCGAGCACGCTGATTCCAAAAAATCAAACCGCACTTTCGTATCTCTTCGCGTTTGGAAGTTACGCTCGAAAAACGCGATATTTTTGTCAAAAGGGTCCCCCCTTATGAAATTTTTTCTGAAAATCATGAAAAAAAATGTTTCCAAAATAATTTTTCCTTACTAATGCGACCACGCTGATTCCAAAAATCAAACCGCACTTTCGTATCTCTTCGCGTTTGGAAGTTAAACTCGAAAACCGCGATATTTTTGTCAAAAGGGTCCCCCCTTATGAATTTTTCACTGAAAATCATGAAAAAAAAAGTTGCAAAAATATTTTTTTCTTACTAATTCGAGCACGCTGATTCCAAAAAATCAAACCGCACTTTCGTATCTCTTCGCGTTTGGAAGTTACACTCGAAAAACGCGATATTTTTGTCAAAAGGGTCCCCCCTTATGAAATTTTTTCTGAAAATCATGAAAAAAAAAGTTGCAAAAATAATTTTTTCTTACTAATTCGAGCACGCTGATTCCAAAAAATCAAACCGCACTTTCGTATCTCTTCGCGTTTGGAAGTTACACTTGAAAAACGCGATATTTTTGTCAAAATGAATTTTTTACTGAAAATCATGGAA